ACGAATTCAGCGACAAAAAACCAAAAACTAATGTACTTAACTTTGGCAATATAAACATAGAACATAACATTAAAAAAGAATTTATATATATATATATATATATATATATATAAATATATATATCCGGTTTTTTAGGCGTTACGCCCGTCCGGTAGGGATCTATGGAGGAGTATCACCGAGCCGCAAGCCCTTATCTCTTGCCGTACTGCTCCACCATAGGCCGATCAGATCCCAGCATATCCTAGTCTAAGCCGCAGATTCATCTAGAATTTTTAAACTGCTGCGTTAGACTTTTTGTTTTCTATACACCGAGCTGGGGCTCGACCCACATCCACTAAACCATTCGACAGTGAAGCGAATGAGAGGCAGCCGCACAGCCCGCTGAGCTATCTGACCGACAAAAAAAGAATTTAACAATAGAATAAAAACATCGGAGAACAACTAGAAGATTAAGATCTATGGAGTGAATTAAAAACCAAGTTAACGAAATCTCCACAAACAATGATTATAGAAAAAACTTAATCTAGAAAAATAAATGGATGACAGACGACATGTTGAAATTAATGGAACAACGTCGACTGATAAAATCTAATAAAACAGAATATAGACACCTGCAGAGAAGAATAAAAAAGAAGATCAAATTAGCCAAGAAAAATGGAATGAAAGGAGGTGCGATGAAATGGAGGATGTAATATCTAAACACGACTTATTTGATGTGCACAAAAAAACTAAACAAAATGAGTAACATATTTATAAATCTTATAAGCTCTTTCTGTACTCATTGACAATAGTAACAAAATTATTGTAACTGAGCACAAAATAGGAACAGATTGGCAGCTGTATATATCTAGAGTTCTTTGAAGATGACAGGAATAATATTGCCGAATTCTACCAAAACTGTACTGAGGCCCAGAAATTATGAAATACTGCCTAAAAAATAATGCTAAAATTAGAAAAGCTTGTGGTCCAGATGATACACCAACTGAGTTGTTGAAACTAATAGAGGATGATAACATAAAAGACTTTTTAATTCAATATGTAATACCGGAGTGATTACCACCGATTGGCTCAAATCCATCTTTGTCGCAATACCTAAAAAACACAATGCGAGAAAATGCTCAGAATATCGATTAATTAGCCAAATGAGCCACACTCTTAAAATTTTCCTAGGAATAGTTCACAACAGAATTAGATGCAAATGGGAAGATCTCGAAGATACCCAATTTGGTTTTAGAACTGCTATGGGAACCATTATGCTTAACATCCTACTACAAAAATGCCATGACCAAAGAAAAGATGTATTTGCATATTTTGTGGACTTCAAAAAGGCATTCGAGAAAGTGCGGCATGTAAAATTAACGCAAATATTAAAAAATATCGGAATAGATGACAAGGATATTCGTGTCATTAAAAATTTGTACTGGAATCAAACTGCTATCATAAAAATTTGAGGTAAGTACACCGATGAAATCTCCATACAACGATAAGTCAGACAAGGTTGCATTTTGTCGCCAACATTGTTTAATATTTACTCGGATCAGTTATTTAAAAAGGCACTTGAGAGACAACCATATGGAATAAAAATCAACGGGAAACTACTTAATGTGATTGGATATGCAGACGATACAGTAATTCTGTCAGATAATATTGAAGGTCTCCAAATTCTGCATGATCGCATTTACGAGGTAGGAGAGGAAATAGGCATTAAAATAAACTCAAACAAAACCAAATTTTTAGTGTTTAGTCGTGACCCAAATCCCGATTCAAAACTTCAATTAAACGGAATCCAAGTTAAGAAAGTTCACAAAATGAGATATTTGGGAACTGTGATAACGGACCAACTAAATCCAGACTATATTAAATTTCTAGAATTAAATTCTGATTTTATATGTTTATTATTTAAAAAACACAAATGGTGTATCCTTTATACGTTACCGTCTTACTAATACTGGTTTTTTCCTTTTAATAACTTCTTTTAATATGGGTAACTTAGTAGTAACTAATAAGCTACTACATTCTGCCGAGGAATTTGCTACACAATTGGTCTCATTTAACATAATTAGAGCCGCATTTTTAATTTTTCTCTTTTTATCACCCGTTTCTTTTAGGACTATATTTGAATTATTTTTGAGACGTTTACATATTTGAGATCTATCAAATTCTCTATTTTTAATATAAGATTGATGTTCACTTATTCTAACATTTAATGGCCTTGATGTTTCACCTAAATAAAACTGATCGCATTCACAAGGTATTTTATAGATGCAATTCTTTGTCCTTTCTTGTTCATGGTTAGGTTTGGTTTTAGACAAAATAGACCTCAATGTGTTTGTTGTTTTGAATTTTGTTGAAATCATTTTATGTATGGTATTGTTAGTTTCCTCGTATTATTCCTTGTGTATGCTGTAGGATCTCGTTTTTTTCTGTTTTTCCCTCGTAATTTACTATGGAATCACTAACAGGAGAATTTTACTGATATCATGTCTTTTTAAAGACGAATTACATGCTATGATTTTTTCTGACGGATATTCTGAAGTTGAAGTTGATTTCATGTAATCGAATGAACTATCTTATAAGTAAAGTCGTCCCAGGAACGCAACTCAACAATATTGGCAATACAAGTCGTCTACTTTAAAATCTATAATGTATCTAAAATCTATAATCTATAATGAATTGTCTATATAAGTGAGTCAGATAAAATTAAATTATTAGAAGAATTTTTTCACCAAGTAACAAAAAAAAATGTTTAATTTACTAATGTTTGTGTTCTGAGAACGATTTCCGAAGTGGAAATTGAAACGTCAATAAACTAACTTTAACCTTTAATTGTGGCATATTTCCATTTAAATATTAATTATTTTAATCTCAAATAAAGATATAGGATATCCAATTAAAGTAAACACAAAACCGACATATACCAACATATATTTTAATTACCGTTCAAAGAACAACATAATTATTAAAAAAAGGAAGCCAGAAATACTAGTCTCCTAAAAAATTTTCCTTTAGTCTTTCCAATCCATCGCATTTCTCCGCAAAGGACAGAATACCATATTCTTATATCTCATGTCTTCTTCGATGTTCCTAATGAACCTTTTTCTAGATCTTCCTCTGCTTTTTTGCCTAATGGGTCTATTAAGTAATGTTTTTCTTACTGGATTATTTTGCGCCATCTACATTACATGTCCTATCCACCTCAAATGTCATGTTTTATTGTGTTTGACGATGACTGGTTTCTGGCATATCATGTAGAACTCGAAGTTATATCGTCTTCTCCGTACACCAATGTCATTAATCGCTTCGTTAATTTTTTTCAGTAATTTCCTCTTAAAACATTTTTTCATTATTTCAGACGTCTTCTGTCTCAGACAAGTTCAAGTATGAGAGAGATATGTTGAGAATGAGCTTATTAGTGTTTTGTAAAGCTAGAGGTAAAGCTAGAGAGTCAAGCTAGAGGATTTAAAAAGAACATTGGGTTCAAAAGAGTACCTGTGAGCAATATAAATATTCTGGGGTTAATCTCTGCAGTAGTTCTAATGTCAATGTTGACAAGTGCTTTGAAGTATACTTTTTTTTCGTCTTTATAGAGGGGGAGTCTGGAATCTTCACGAGACATCTCAGTCCAGGACGCCACCTGACTAACTTTAGTGTAGGATTCGTTCTTCTTACTCCCGGCGATAGTTTCCGAGGTATTTTAAAATGCCCTTTCGTCGACGAGTCTACACCGAACGCCTACCTGCTAAACTAGACCTTCCTCTAAGGCCGGCATCCATTTTGAAGCACTACCTTCATTCATTAATTCTCCATTCATACACATGCACTCCATTCATCAGCAAGGAGGCTTCCTGTCTCGTTCCACGTAGTGCGTAGAAGACCCTCACTGCACGGATATAGCTGTGTATGGTAGTCCACCCTGATTTATTTTCAATCATTCTCTCAATTATGTCTCCCACTGTAACAAAATTCACACCTGTCTCTCTCTCCATTTTGTTTCTTTCTACTACTGCTGTAATCTAACATCGTATGTGTCACAGTGTCCTAGTATCCACAGTATAGGCATTTATCTGTGTCAGCCTTTCCAAACCTAGAGAGGTAGGCCCTAAAACACCCATGTCCCCAGTCTACCCAATTTCTTATATTCGGGATCAGCATTTTTGTCCACTGTGCCACATCCTCCGTGTTATTCCATTCTTCTTGCCATCTTTTAATTGACCTTTCCCTTTCCTGTCTTCTTTTGGCCACAGTAAGGTTTGGGCCTCTTCTCTCATAGAGCTCTTTTCTTTCCACCGCCAAAACATCCTCCTCCTTTCGGATTTGGGTCTTCCAATGTTCGGCATCACCCTCTCCAACGCAGCCGTACTATTCGCAGCATTCCGGACCACCTCCCGCACGTGCTCTCCCCATTTTCCATTCTGGGGCAACGTCACTCCTAGATACTTTACTTGTTTCTTGCACAGAGCGTAACTCCGTCATATGCTAGGTTCCATAGCGTCGGGCCCAAGACAGATCCCTGGTTCATCAGGTAACCAGGACATTCTCTCTCCTCCATTGCCTTCATTACCATTGTTTCGAGGTATACTAATTCATTAACAAACTGTCTGGCTGATGTCTTCTATAAAGAGTGATCGAACGATTCGCGGTTTCGTGCTCACGTTCATGTATTTCGTGTTCATGTATTTTTTGTTGATGTTTATTATAAGGACCATTTTTGTTGACCGCTTATTTTAGTGCAATATATGCCTCTTGTACATTATTTTCCGTTTTTTCAATGATATTTTTATCATCAGTGTAGCTAAGGATTGCTGTTGTTAGTTTTAAATACTTCATACCCTTAACATGCACTTAACTTCTTAAAGGTCATTTTTGTGAATATTACCAACTAATTTGATATTCTTAGGTCTTTAATTTCTCTAGTCCAATAACATCCCGAAGATCATCTATACGTCAAAACATATTTTATCAGTAATTGTGCATAATTATTTGAAATTTTTAAATTTTAGAAAGTTGTGGAAATTTGCTCAATCGAATTCGAGCCACAACTAAGAAAAATTAAGTAAATTAAAACAAATAATAGATACTGTATTACATACATATCTGTTAGTTTTGAGAACACATTCTGACAAATGAAGCTTTTGATCACCAAAAATCATTCAAATTAATGTTTAGATATACCACGCAATACCCCTTCCAACTACGAAAGTTTTCATATCTAATGTCAAACCTACATCAACTAAACTATTTTATCAATTTCATATAAATGAAAATCTATTTCATATCAGATAAACTACCATCCACCAGACAAATTCCTACGAAATATCGGAGATTCCTAGAAGCAGCGACCTTGGAAATATTACCGGGGCGATAAAAAAAGTTTAATATTTCTGTGTAAAATATAATAGTTATTTATTTAGCGGAGGAACACAAAAAAACGAGAAAACAACAACAAAAGACATCAACATTGTGGTCGAATTATTCAATGATTAAAAGTATTGAATACATTGATGGATTCGACCGCAACTTGATGGAAATTCATTTTATGTAACAATAAAACACTGAAAACTTTGTTTTCAAACTTCCACAAAATTTATTTTAACTTGTGATCTCTCAAGTGATCTCTTTTTGGCATGCGTTTATATTTTATAGTCTCTAATGAAATAGGTTGAGGAGGGGAGAACTTTTTGTCTCAATTTGGTCATTCAGAATTATTTCTGTGTTTTTTAATTTGTTGATTTCCATAGATTCTAACAAGGATAACTTAAGGCCTTTATTTTGAATGTGAAGAATTTTAAATTCGTCATTAAAAGAATGATTGTGATCTAGAAGGTAGAATCTGTTTTTCTATTATTGAAAGCCCTTTTATGTTCTGCTATTCGTTTATTAAAGCTTCTATCAGTTTGACCGATGTAAGTTTTTGGGCAGTCGCCATATTTAAGTTTGTACACACCACTGTGTAAGTGTTTTTTATTTTGGCTCTTGTTGTTTTTGATATATTTGCCTAGGTTTTTATTTGTTCGGAAAGCCGGTGTTATTCCTTTCTTTTTTATGTGTTTGGCTATTTTGCTTTAATATTTTGCCTGTATATGTAATCGAGCAGAAGGTACTGGGTGTTTTCTCTGGTGGTGGAAATACTAATTTCAGGGCTTTCTTATGTAGTTTTTGATTTTCCACACAATCTGTCTATATTGACAATAAGCCCTTATAATGACTATCAGTTTACTTAATTTATAAATCTTTTAAACCTTTTAAAATTAGTATGTCTGTGAGTTTCCACCAATCAAAAGTCAAAACGTAACCTAAACTAACCTAAAAATATTTAAACAGCCGAATTAAAACTAAAACCTAGTAATTAAGTCCGATGATTTGAACCTCTTGAGTCTTTGACTTTGATCTGGTAAGATAATTAATTCACTTGCTAGTATATTTGGGTATAAGTTCATTTATTTCTAATATGATTCTTAAAATTTTTTGATTTCTTTTTTTAACACTTTGAACATTAAGATCATGATGAATTATGCTGTTGGGTATATACCATAGCGACTTCACTAGTATGTGTAGTAATTGTTTTGGTAACTTTGGATGACGTCTACGTTTGAGTGGTTGGCGGTGTTCCATAATTGAATAACGTAGATACAATTGTGGCTGGTGGACAGTTATTTCGTTTTATAGTAAACGTTATATGAACAAATTAACTAGTATTTTATAAATTAACTAGACAGAGGCAGAAGAATCCGACGATATCAAAATCAAACGTGGCGTCCGTCAGGGATGTATACTATCACCACTGCTGTTTAACATATACTCTGAGGAAATCTTTCAAGAAGCAGTGGGTGATGTTGAAGCCGGAATTCGAATCAACGGAGAATCTATCAATAACATTAGATACGCGGACGACACGTTAGTATTCGCTGACAGTTCTAAAACCCTCCAGGAGTTAATGAACAGAATCACAGAGGTCAGTCAGAGATACGGACTTTCACTAAACACTAAGAAAACAAAATGCATGATGATCTCTAAGAAGGAACAGCAATTTGGACAAATCAGTGTAAACGGTCAACAAATAGAAAGAGTAAAAACATATACTTACCTTGGTATGAACGTCAATGAAAATTGGGACCATTCCATAGAAATCAACTGTAGAATAGAGAAAGCAAGATCCGCATTTTAAAAAATGGCTAAGTTATTCAAATGTCATGATTTATCAATGCCCATAAAAATCAGGTTACTACGATGTTACATCTTTCCTATACTGTTGTACGGAGTTGAGTCATGGACTCTCACAGACGCCACCTGCAAGAAAAATGAGACATTTGAAATGTGGCTTTATCGTCGCATCCTGAAGATATCGTATACCGACCACGTTACTAATGAGGGTGTTCTGTTGAGACTGAAAAAAGAAGAAGAGCTTTTAACCACAATAAAAACAGCCAAAATCGAATACGTCGATCACATCCTGAGGAACAGCGAAAGATATGGACTGCTGCAACTAATCTTGCAGGGAAAAGTAGAAGGAAAACGGGGACCAGGAAGGCGAAGGATTTTCTGGCTGAAAAATCTACGAACGTGGTTCAACACAACAACCACAAATCTTTTTAGAGCAGCAGTGTGCAAAGTGCAGATTGCCATAATGGTCGCCAACATCCGAAACGGATATGCACTACAAGAAGAAGAAGTACAGAGTTGGCTCCAGTATGCTTCCTTGTGGTACTCCTGTGGGGTTGCGTTTATTTTGACTTGGTAGTTTCACGTACCCAGATAAGATTTGATCATTCCATAGAAAGGGTATTGTAAGCTTTGTTTTATTTTTTAAAGTAGTCATATATAGTTTCAAGTCATATTTTATTAAATGCTTTACTTATGTTTAGAAAGGCTTCACTGCAGTATATTTTACCTTTTAGGTCATTGATGATTTTTTCTACCACACAATGAATCTGTTTCACGGTGCCATGTTTTTTGCCAGAGTGTTTTTATGGATATAACAGGTAGTTCTTGTGTATTTTTGCTGGTAATAAGATAACAATCATGGCGTTTCTTAGGATTTAATTCTTTTTATTAGAGAATTAATTTCTTTAAACGACTTAACAGACAATAGAAAAATTAGCAGACATTTTTTGTTGAAGTTATATAGGTGTGTTCGATTCGTGGACTATAAATATTTCGATGAGATAGTCTGCAAATATTTCAGCTTTTTCAGTGTCAAGTCTTGCCCATCTACCACCAGATTTCAATTGGTGGGATATAGTGTTGAGGTATTTTGATGGTTTTTGCTACTTTCCACAAGGAATAACCAGTGTTTTCTGTAGCTGTCAGTGCACTCAAGTATTTATTGACGGATTAATTTTTTATGTCAAGTAGCAGTTTCTTTAGTTCTCTGCAAGCTTTGTTGATTTTTTGTCTATTTCCATTCTGGTTGTTTGCCATCTTTTTTTTTTTTAATTCACGATTTCTTTCGACTTGTTGTTTAACCATTAGGAGTTTTTTATATTTGGATGGATGGAGTGAATTGTTTGGGTGTGGTTAACCATGCAGATTGCTGTATACTTTTTGTAAAAGTCTTCACTTGTTTTTAGCGGAATAACTAAGTTAAAAATTAGAATGAGATACATATGGAATAAGAATAAATGGAGAGCTCTTGAACCACTTGAGATATGCAGACGATATAGTCCTGATAACAGATAAGAAGGAAGAGTTACAGAAGATGGTTGAGGAACTAGATAGAAAAGCGACAGAAGTAGGTCTAGAGATGAACTATGACTATGACAAACCAAGAAGACCAATTAGAAATAGTAGTCAAACAGAATAAATTAAAGCAGGTGGCAGAATACATATACCTAGGACAGATAATAAAGCTGAACAGGGACAATCAAACAGAAGAAATAAAAATATAGCATGGGCCTCATTTGGTAAACTATCATATATTCTAAAAAATAAAAAGTTCCCTCAATATATGCGAACGAAAGTATTCAATCAGTGCATTTTACCAGTTATCACATATGTCTCGCAAACATGGACTTTCACAAAGGAGAACATCGACAGGATATCCAAAACACAAAGAGCAATGGAAAGACAGATGCTGGTTATCGGTCTTAAAGACAGGAAAAGAAACTCATGGATCAGAGAAAAAACAAAGGTGAACGATGTATCAAGACAGATTGCAAAACTTAAATGGAACTTCGTCGGTCACACTCTCCGGCAAAAAGATGAAAGATGGACTAAGAGAATTCTACACTGGAGACCATGGAAAAAGAAAAGAAAAAGAGGAAGACCACAGATGAGATGGACTGACGACCTTAACAGAACGGCAGGAAAGGACTGGATGCAGGTTGCCCAAAATAGAGACTAATGGAGATTAACAGGGGAGGCCTATGCCCAAGAGTGGGCGTTTAAGGCTGATTAGATAGATAGATAGAGAACTAAGTTAACACTTTGGAGTGTGGAGTCTAGGCTCTACATGTAGCATGTTATGTTTGAGTTTAACCCCCTCTGTGGCTCAGTGGTAAGAGCGCCTGCCTTTAAATCTAAAGGTCGTGAGTTCGAATCTCACCTGGGTGGAAATTTTCGTTTATTAAAAAAAAATTAATAAATGAAAATAATTTCTATCCTTGTGTGATCGGTACACACCGGAGGGACCGCAGACGTTCGGATACAATTAGCGTCTCTTGACAAAGACAATGACGTCGACTTTGCTAAGTATCAAGACAATTACTCTACACACACAAACACACACACACACACACACACACACACACACACACACACACACACACACACACACACACACACACACACACACACACACACACTACATTAATAAACTTATCTTGATTGAGACTGGCTGAATGACAATTGTCCAAGCCAAAACACGCACAAAAAAAAATGTTTGAGTTTATCAAAACCTTTCTCATAAAAGATCTTTTGGTTGGTCTTGACATGTTTTAACAAGAGTTGTGAAACTGTACAGTCCCTCTACTGTTATTACCGAAACCATTACGAAAGGCAAACTGCCTATTACTTATATGCGCTGCATACGCTCTAAGCATTCTAGCATGTATAACCTTTA